TTTCTTACAATGATTGCTTAGGAGTCATCTGAGTCTATGTGCTATGTCCAAATGACAAGGCTATACCGATTAGATCCAGATTTCGAAGGTGACGTCAACAGATGAGTGGTGAGGGCATTTGCAGATAAACTCACTCATAAACTAACGTTTGGACCCTTTGTTTAATGAGGAATGTACCTTATGTCACTGGACTTCTACACAACAGACACAGAAGGTATTTGGAAGAGTAATTTCTAAAAACAAGTTTTTAAGTTTTCTCAATATTAATAGTACTAATAATCGTATGCCAGCTATAAGTATTGTATTAAAAATTGATTTAAGCCTCATGCCTGAATTGAGATACTAAGAGATTTATTCTTTAATCTAGACAATAAGTATTTACAAACCGTTCAAAGACGTCTAATGTTACTTTGTAACTTGTAGTACTGCCAAAATATTAATAAAAAAAAGTCACAGGTAAAGCTGGAAGAAAGCAGAATAATTATAATGAATACAATGAAATTTAAAATTTCACTGTTTTAAAAAATATATTAAACTTAAGAATACTTTAGCACAATTTTTTATCCATTAGGCTTAAAAGAAGGTTTTGGAGCCACAAGTGAAACTACAGCACTTGAGTGAAAGCCCTTGATGGGAATGTGTGCATCTGAAAGAAGGGCAACCGCGGCTTTTCTTTTTCAATCAGGAGTCTATGGAAATGCTCTGTTCCCCTGCCCAGCACCAGAGTCCTGTCCTCCATCCTAGAGCTCAGCCTTCAAACAGTTTAAGCAGCTGAGTTTGTGGAGAGTGTTTGCTCTGCGCTCAGAACCCTTGTGTGACATGATGGTGACTCTTCTGACACCTCAGAGACCTGCAGACGTGCTTACTCATCCGGTGGAAAGCCAGGCTGAGAATTCCCAACTCCTTTGTAACCGCAACTTCTTCATGGAAATCAGTATTTGGTCAAGAGACAGTAAAAACTTTGTTAGACATTAATTTCTTTTTCTTTTTATGTCCGTATCACTCAGAAAATGCAAGATCCTGTTTATTTCAAAGGGTTATTTACGACTTTAAAATCAACTAAAAGGACTGATATTAATTATAAATTAGCAAAAGTTATGTAAATTTCACAGAAGAGATTTCTCCTCCTGAAAGGTATGGAAAGAAAATTCCAAATAGTTGATACATATTTTCTTAAAAATATGTTTAAAAATTTTAAATTTCTTCCCCTAAATCTATTTATCCGGTGTCCTCACAGCACGATTCCAGTATACGAAGGAATGTGAATCATATTAGTATAATTCTAACCCACAGCGAACACATTTAGTGACCTTTTTTTAATTTAAAAATTATTTTTGTGGAATGAAAATAGAACCTATGAGGAAAGAGCAATAATAGTATCAAAATCATTTATCATGAAGCAAAGGCTGGGGGTTAAATGATAATTCATCAATGATCATTACATATGAACTCTTAGTTCGTGAAGAATGACGTATAGCTCGTTGCCATTTCCACTGAGATAGGCAAATCAGAGCGAGAAAAAGTCAACCCCACACGAAGCGCAGCCACTGAGTCCACGCTGACTCTCACCCACGGCAGAGCAGAGGCTAGAACGCCCATCTGGGTTTCTGAAGTGATCGGTCTTTGAGGAAGTAGAAAACAGCTGGTGGTTTTAAACTGCTGACCTTTCGATTTGCAGACCACTGCATTACCAACTGTGGCACCAAGCCTACTAATTAGAAGTAAAGTAATTAATTAGTAAAGATTCCCTACAGGTAGCGGTTATTTTTTTTTCCAATAAAAGTTTTAATCTAGTGTATCCAGTTGTCTGTAATAGGCTTAGTGTGGTTCTTATACGAGATAGAGCAATTGTGTTAAAAGATCTTTGAAATAGCTTCTAACCTTATAGGTCTGACTCTAATTATGTTTAGTTTATATAACTATGTGTAACTAAGGCCTAATATATAACAAAATGTATTTTAAAATCCTATGGAAAACCAATCCAGGTGACAAGAAGCACATCAGTACATGGAAAGTATTATAGCTCAAGTTGTGTCCCTAGAAATGTGATGCTAAAGTCCTAACTCAGATCCTTGTAAATACGACCCTTTTTGAAACAGTGGTTTCCTTTTGTTGTGTTACTGAGGCAACACTGGAGTAGGGTGGATCCTAAGTAACCCTTTCATAGCATTGACTTATAGACTGGAGTTGGACTGGCCTGGGATGCCTTTTTGATATAAAGCTTTCTTCTACATAGAAGAAAAGCCCTGGTGGCTAGTGGTTGTGTGTTGCGATCCAAAAGGTCAGCACTTCGAAACCACCAGCTGCATCACAACAGGAAGACAGGGCTTTCTACTCCCATGAACAGACAGTTTCAAAAACCCACAGGGGCAGTTCTACTCTGTTTTAGCTGCCAGTGAATTTGTTTGTTGGTTGGTTTGTATGTTTTTTAATACCTAGATGAGTTTCTCTAGACCCAACCACAGACAACATGTAATGTTTAAATAACTCAAACGTTTTAAGGTTTGATTGTACCATTGCCATTGAATTAATTTTGACTCATAGTGACCCTGTATTAGGTTTCTGAGGCTGTAAATCTTCATGGGAGCAAATAGACTTATCTGTCCTCTATGGAGCAGTTAATGGCTTGAACTACTAGCCTTGGGGTTAGAAATCCAATACTTACCAGACAGTGCCACCAGAGCTCTTTATAATCATAGTAAAGATTAAGGTACATAATTACTAAATTATTTTCAAATGCTCTTGGACTACAGATGGGTTTGACATTGGCATATTAATTAAAATGTAATTTTAGGGATGTTGGTTTAAAAATTAGGGATGATTAATTTTCAAATAAGAAATAGAGGAAATTAAGATATTTTGAAGTCATATTGACTTCATACAATATTTATTTCATACAGTAAAATTTCAAAAAAGAAAGCAGTGAGGCAAAAGGTAGGCATTGGAAAGTTAAGGAGATAAAGGCATGCAAATGGAGTACTCGTTGGACAATGGGTTCAGCATCAGACTACTGACTGGAAGGCCAGCAGTTCAAACCCACCAGCTGCTCCATGGGAGGAGATGGGGCAGTCTGCTCCGGAAAGATTGACAGCTTTATAGTCCCTAGAGCACTTCTATTTTGTCCCACGGGGTCTGCTTTCCCTTTGACATATTGATGAATAACTGATCTATATTCTCCATTTTCAACTACTCAATTTACATTTACTCCTCTGAACTAAAGATACGATGGCTCATTCTTATAGCTTAACATTTTTCTCCTTAAAATTACCTGTAATTCCCAAACTATTAAATTCAATGGGTCCTTTTGAACTATGATTTCATTATATTTAACATGGTATTTGAATTATGTAATCTTGCTAACTATAGAGAGAAAGGCTCAGTTAAAATGACAAGTTTTAGTACACTAAAGCTGACACGGACAATTCTACTACAAAGTTTAAATTAACAAATGTCATCTCTGTCTATTAAGTTACTTGTTAACATTCTGTTAGTTGTCATAAGGTTGACAGATAAGGCAATTTTACTTGAATTGGAAAAAGGATGCCAAATTCATTCACAATAAGCAGATCAACTACATACACTGTGGGAAGAGGTCTGGAACAACAACCACCTACACAAAAACCCTACCATACTGGATTCCGTACAGCTTGGCTCCTGGACCACAGATCACAGACTTGCACTTAGAGCTAGATCACCATGAAACGAATG